AGTGAAAGTTTTACTTTTCCCTTTCCAGTTTGGATTCCTGTTATTTCTTTTTCTTATCTGATTGCCATGGCTAGGATTTGCAACATGATATTGAATTAAAGTGGCAAGAGTGGGCATCCTTGTCCTTTTCCTGATCTTAGAAGAAATGCTTTCAGCTTTTCACTGTTGAGTATGATGTTGGCTATGGGTTTGTCATATGTGGCCTTTATTATGTTGAGGTACGTTCCCTCTACACCACTTTGTGGAGGGTTTAATGGACGTTGCCTTTTGTCAAAAGCTTTTTCTGCATCTATGGAGACGATCATATGACTTTTATTCTTCAATTTGTTAATGTGGTGTAGCACATTGATTGCTTTGTGAATACTGAACCATCCTTGCATCTGTAGGATAAACCCCACTGGATCATGGTGTATGATCCCTTTAATGTACTATTGAATTCAACTTGCTAACGTTCTGTTGAGGATTTTTGCATCTATGTTCATGAGTGATATTGGTCTGCAATTTTTTGTGTGTGGTGTCTTTATTTTTGGTATCAGGGTGATGCTGCCCTCCTAGAATGAGTTCAGAAGTGTTCCTTCTTCTTAAATTTTTTGGAATACTCTGAGAAGGATAGGTGTTAACTCTCCTTTAAATGTTTTGTAGAATTCACCTGTGAAGTCATCTGATCCTGGACTTTTGTTTGTTGGGAGGTTTTTTTTTTTTTTAATGACTGACTTAATTTCATTACTAGTAATTGATCTGTTTGTATTTTCTACTTAGTCTTGATTTGGTCTTGGGAGACTGTATGTTTCTAGGAATTTATCCATTTCTTCTAGTTTGTCTGTTTTATTGCCATATAATTGTTCATAGTAATCTCTTATGATCCTTTGTATTTCTGTGGTGTCAGTCATAACTTCTACTCATTCAAATTTTATTTTATTTATTTGGGCCATTTCTCTTTTGTTCTTGATGAGTCTGGCTAAAGGTTTACCAATTTCGTTTATTTTTTTCAAAAACCAGCTCTTAGTTTCATTGATCTTTCTTATTGTTTTTTTAGTCTCTATTTATTTTCATTCTGATCTTCAATATTTTCTACTAATTTTGGGTTTCATTTGTTCTTTTTTATTTTCTAGTTCCTTTAGGTGTGAGGTTAGGTTGTCTATTTGATATTTTTCCTGTTTCCTGTGGTAGGCCCGTATCACTATAAACTTTCTTCTTAGAACTGCTTTCGCTGTGTTCCTTAGATTTTGGATCATTGTGTTAACATTTTCACTTATTTCCAGGTATTTGTTTTGACTTCTTCCATGACCCATTGGTTGTTTAGTATCATAATCTTTAGCCTCCAAGTGTTTGTATTTTTTGTAGTTTTTTTCTTGTAGTCAATTTCTAGTCTCACACTGATATAGTCAGAATTTTATTTATTTATTTAATAAATATTAAATTTATTATGGCTTGTTTTATGGCCTAGCCTGTGTTCTATCCTGGAGAATGTTCTATGTGCACTTGAAAAGAATGCATATTCTGTTGCTTTTGGGTGGAATATTCCATATATATCTATCTATTAAATCCATCTGATCTAATATGTCATCTAAGGCCAGTAATTCCTTATAGTTTTCTGTCTGGATGATCTGTCCATTGATTTAAGTGCTAAAGCCTTCTTCTACTATTTATTGTATTACTGTCAATTTCTCCTTTTATGTTTGTTTGTACTTGCTTCATATACTTAGGTCCTCCTATTTTGTGTGCATATATATTTACAATTGTTATATCTTCCTCTTGGATTGATCGCTTTATCATTAGGTAATGTCCTTCTTTGTCTCTTTTTACAGACTTTGTTTTAAAGTCTATTTTGTCTGATATATAAGTATTGCTACCCCAGCTTTCTTTTTATTTTCATTTGCATGGAATATCTTTTTCCATCCCCTCACTTTCACTCCATGTGTGTCTTTAGATCTAAAGTGAGTCTCTTATAGGCAGTGTATAGATAGGTCTTGTATTTCTATCCATTCAGTCACTCTATGTCTTTTGACTGGACCATTTACATTTAAGGTAATTGATAGGTATTCACTTATTGCCTTTTTGTTCTTTGTCTTGGAGTTGTATTGTAGTTCTTTTTTGTTCCTTTTTTACTTTTTTTCTCTCTTGTCTTATAATTTGATGACTGTTCTTAGTGTTATGTTTGGATTCCTTTCTCTTTTTTGGTGTGTATCTATTATAGGTTTTTGGTTTGTGCTCACCATGAGGTTCATATATAACAACCTATATTTATAGATGACTATTTTAAGTTGATGATCTCATAAGTTTGAATGCATTCTAACAACCTTATGCTTTTACTACCACTACCCCCCAACCATTTTATGTTTCTGATGTCACATTTTACATCTTTTAATTTTGTGCATCCCTTAACTACATGGCAGGGAATTTGGGTTTTACTTTCGGTAACAATGGAGCCACTAGAAAGTTTGATCAAAGGAGTATCATAATCTAACTCTTTTTTTAAGAGAATTTTTATGGCTATTGAATTAAAAATTGGCTGGAGTAGGTGGAGAATAGTTTAAGGCAGAAAGAAAGAGTCCAGTTAAAAGACTATCACTGTAATCCAGACAGAAGATGATATATCTTAAACCTGGTAGAAGTAGATTTGTGTGAAACAGTTTAATTCTGGATATTCTGAAGACAGACCAAATAAGAGTAAACAAGGAATGAAGGAAAGAAAAAAGTCAAAAGTGACTTGCAAGTATTTGACTTAACACCCAGAAGAACAGAGTTTCTAGTGGTATGAGGTGAAATGTGGAAGTGTGAATAGAGTCTGTGTAGAAAAGGAAATTGTAAGATTTGGTTGGAAAGTGGCCTAGGGCCAGTGTCTAGTCCTGAGATGGAAACAAGATTTCCCATGTTATACTTATGCTGGTTTCCCTAGGAGCCTCTATGCCTCTACAGTTTGAAAGTCATAAAAATCATGTCATCTTTGGAGAGTTCCAATTTCTCTCTCTTTAAAAATCTTCTCCGCAAATGGCATGCTCTTTCCTTGGCTCAGCTGTTACCTTTACCTTATACCCATGCTCTTCCTGTATGTTTCAGTCCTCTCCATTCCTCAATCACCAGGCCTGGTAGTAGATTCCACCTCCTAAACATTTCTGTCCATAATCTTGGTCTCTACCCTCAGCAAAGCCATTTTCACCTATCGCTGGGATCATCGCATTACCACTTGATAGGTCTTCATAATTCTACTCCTATAGAGTAGAATCTTTCTCCAGTGTACCCAGATTGATCTTTCTAAAACAGAAATCGATCGTGTTC